AGCACTCGCCAATCCGCACCGGGCCCGCGTGGTGGGTCATGGCCCAGTCTCCCTATTCCATCCATAGGGAAGGCCTGTACCCCAGTAGTGGGGACATTAATAGGCTGATAATGACTAACTGTAAGTAAAGTATCCGAACAACAATGGACAGAAATTGGACATTGTTGACAGTATTTTTGTTGCGAATAATTTAATATAAGTAACTCAAATGATATTTTATGAGCAGACACAATGAGTGTATTCCGAATCAAGCACCAGTACGCCGGCCAGTGGTAATGACGTCATGATTTCGACGCCATATTGACAGCACTACTACTACACCAGTGCAATATGGCGTCGATTTCATGACGTCATTACCACTGGCCAGCGTACAGGGGGCCAATCGCCTAACGGAAATGCTTTGGGAAACGCTAACGCTTACGATATTTATATTGTTATTTCTAGCCGCCTGAGGTTTTCGAATACCTCACGCTCATTTTTTTTAATATTGTTATTACCAATGCAAAAGAAAAAGAAAGAGCGCGAGGCATTTGAATACCTCAGGCGGCTAGAAATAACAAAATAAAATCGTAAGCGTTAGCGTTTTCCAAAGCATTTCCGTTAGGCGATTGGCCCCCTGGTTTATATTTCGGAATACACCCTATGTCTTAAACGCGCACACTGCGAAGGCTCGAAAACAGGCCAATTGGAACGTCTTGACGACTAAAAAATGTTACTCTATGCACAAGAAAACATTTGAAGTTGGAAGAGATTTTAAACGCACTTAGCATATAAATAAATAAATAATTCCAACACTCACATCAATTAGCCTAGCCCCAAAGTAAGCACTGTAAGGCTTATGTTATGGGATACTAGGGTAACGGATAGAATACATATATAGAAATACATATTAAACATCCATGACTGGAGTACAAATGCTCATGTTCATCACACAGACATCTGCCCCCACCGGGATTCAAGCCCGGGACCTCTCGAGTCGGCGACACCATGAAACCCGGCGTACAAACCACTCGGCAACGGAGGTCGTCAAATTTAAACAGGTTGCAAGGCATGTCAAGTTTAATTTAAGGTGTTTTTAGGCGCTTGCATTGCGGGCGTTATTGCAATATATATTTTAATGATTTAGCACAAGTTATTTGAAATAATAAATAAGGCCTTAAAGATGCAATGCGCTATGTACACTCTTTTTTTTCGCTCGAGAACAACCCTTGTTAATTCCAAAGTCATATAATTCAATTTGCACCGTATACGGATGATATCGTCACCAGTATGCACTGAATGCACATCACAAGAAGATCAAACACTGGACCACATTTTCTTTTCTTGTCCAGCTTTCAACATTCAGCGACTAATTCTAATAGATCGACTTTTAACCAAATCTCAGATCATCCCGCCTTCGCTACAGGACACCCTAGCAAGCCCAGAAAACTTTTTACCTATTTACGAATTTATAAACTCAACACTTGGAGAAATATAATAAAACAACCTCGGACTGTACTACATTAAAATATGATGATTATGACCACTCCCGGAAAGAACAAAATATTTTATAATTTACTGAAGATTTGGCTTATTGCCTATAAACTAAAACAACTAACAGATTTGGCCTTGCCTATACAATAATATAAGACAACTAGAATTACTGACGTAAGACTTGGCAGTATGGCTTAGTACCTTCGCCTGTCCCAATGGACGAAATTAAACTACTACTACTTAATTTTCACCTCCTTTTGTCAATGCCTAAATTTTGCGTTCTGTATTTTTAATCTGTGCCCCTGCAACTTGTGTGGCACATTATCGAAATGTTGCTTTCACAAATTTATCAGACCATTTTGCGCAATGAGCGCATATTATAGGTACATAATTATTATTATCGCAAATATGTTCGCATCTTATCAACACCGGCCACCGCGCTGCCGAGCCGATGCGATGCCCCGTTTTCGTTGATACAAAACAGTCAAATATATAATTAATTTTAATAGCGATCTTTTCCAGATACAGTGATGGCCTAGAAACCGTATGTATGTATGTTTATTATCAGTTTTTTTCATTCATTATTAACAGACAACTTGCGTCTTTGTAGTGGCTTTTTTATCTTGCTCTGTTGATATCATTGAGTATGTAGGTATGTTGATTTTGCAATATAGAGTAATAATATCAAGCCTTTTTTTATTATTATGTTTTACGGCTCTGGATTCTAGTCCTTTTTAAGCCAAACGTTGAACAAGTCAAAAACAAAGTAAACAACACAACTGTCACGTTTTACAGAATGTCATTGAGTTTACACATCACATCTTCACATCATTTTCAGTTACACAGTAAAATCTTTCTCCGTCTTGTTATATATTGTTCACAGTAGGTATTTATAATGAATTTGAATAGTGGCTTAAAATACTTTATTTAATATCAAGACCTCCTAAGAGGGTTGCCAGATGCTGGCTTATCAATTCCGGGACATTTGGGACCCCCCCTCCCTGAAAAAATAAGCATCAAACCCCTATCACCCCCAGAGTTAAAACATGAAGCAGGTGTTATATGGCAAGTAACTCACTTAATATAAAATAAAATATTTATTTGAAACTACAAGAATTATGTCTTACATCGAAGTGGTTCAGATTATAACTAACTAATACTAAGAGAATTCAAGCTATATAATGAATGAGTCCTGAGAAAGCTAAACAAAACTATCACTTAATGACTTTACAAACATTCAAAGGACTGGAAAGTTTAGATGACTCGATACAATGCAAATGAAGTAATTAGTAAAAAGGATGTGAATGGTATTAGCAAATAATAGATATCTAAACTTAGGAACATGAGAACGATAGATAACATGGTTTTAAGATAATTAACGAACATTACAAATGAGTTTGATAAACAAAAGATATGGTATTAACAATAAGGGAATAACATAGGTTTGGTCAACAAAAGATATAATAGGGGTATAACATAACACAGGCCAGCGGTGTCATTCGTTAATTGTGTTACGTAACTAGCACATTATTACAATGAGGTCTAATTACTGGTCACGGGATAAGACGCAAAATTCCTGGACAATCCCGGATTTTCCGGCCATCTGGCAAGCCTACCTCCTAACCGTCCAATCGATGTACATATTTTATCTATATGTATAAAAGTCAAAGGTGACTGACTGACATAGTGATCTATGAACGCACAGCCCAAACTACTGGACGGATCGGGCTGAAATTTAGCATGCAGGTAGATGTTATGACGAAGGCATCCGCTAAAAAAGGATTTTGATCAATTCTACCCCCAAGGGGATAAAATAGGGAATGAAAGTTTATATGAAACTTTGTCAATTTTAAACCGATCGGGCTGAGGCTTTGCATTCAGGTATAAGAAAAATCATAGATGAATGTCATTGTGTATAATACAAGCCTGAAAACAAAAACTGTAGTCTACACTTCAGCTCTACACCGAAGCGAAGCGAGGGGGCGGGCCGCTAGTATAATATTCGATCGAGGTGGTAATTGTGAATATGTACTGATCTTAGTTCTAGAAGTTTAATGCTTAAACAACAATAAAATAAATATTTTATTCAACATTATCGTTATTAATATTACTTATATCACCTATAATGATCAAAAAATTAACACGAAGGCACTCCTTCGCAGATTCTATGTTTTTCTTACTCTATTAAAGCTCTAGGAGTGAAAGTGAAGAAGCTTTCCCAACAATTCGTTTTAATAAAGTTCTTTGCCATTCACAGATTATCTACGAGCGATAGAACAGAGCGTAGGAAGCGTTGTCTTTTGAGCGAATAAAGCCTTTATTATAATGTCATAAGGTTCATATTCATTTTAGACAGTCCGTTGGTGTGGGCATTACACATAAACAATGCATTGAATTACACGATAAGTACGAGTATATGAATGGGTACTTAATTCAAAAGTTGTGTTTATAATGCCAGTTTTATTAAACGGGATATGGCCAACCAGGAATTCACTTACGTAATGCAGTCTAGAAAATAAAAAAGATGTGATTATTATTGACAATTTTCACATTATTAAATGTTGTAGCGTAGTGTCTGTTTCGTTACTTGATCTGTGGTAAAAGTTCACTTTCGTTCGAAATGAAATGGAAACTTTCGCGCGTTTTCTTCGCCATAGACAATGGTGCCTAAAAGGAGGTCAACGCACCACATCCGCGCGCCAAGGTTGATCCATGACGTAATCCTTTTTAAACTTAGAACGAACTTGGCATTAAAAATGCGATGAGCTACTAATCTTTTTTTTTTCTAAATGGCTTCGCACGGGCTACTAATCTTGTCTCATACGTTCCAATGCTTTTCAAAAAAAAGTTTTTCATAATATTTTGCAGCATTGCCAACCTAAACATTTTATTTATCAGAAATCAAGTAAAATACTTTTATTTTTTTTCATATTTTATTACCTTTTAAACTAATAAATAAGTAATTTCAAAATACTATTAGAGTGTGAACGTTAGTAGGTTAATGTAACACGCTGAAATAAAAAAAAACCTCAACAAAATCTCAAATCAAATGCCGTGTGTGCTGGAATGCTGTGTCCTTCTAAGGTTACTACAAAACAATGTTCGCGATAAGGGAATAGGATCATTTTCCCACGGAACCAGTCAAATCAGTTGCTAGAGCTCAAGATACATGGTAATAACACGATAGCCTAGGTAAGTAATCTGGTTAGCCGGGAGCGTTTTTATGCTTTTTTCCCCGACGTTAGATAGGTATTTAAATAAAACTGGTTGCTTTAGTTGGTTGCCTGTGCATCTCGCTAGGCTTTCCATAGCAATAACCTTGCTCTAAGTTACGAAACACTCCATGTACAAAAAGTTACAATAAATATTACACCTGAAAGTTGATGTCATTAAGAATCATTGAATTCATTGATAGATTTAATCCACAATCGCTTAGTACGCGAATAGTTACACACACAAGCATGAAAACGTAAAATAATAACAGTGAATGAATGAGTGATAAAAAACAAACGAATTTTGCTACTCACCCCGAACATTGGCAGTTGTTTTCACAGTTCTTGCTGCTCTCTCCCCACATTTTTGAATGAAAATTTAATACTATAATTAAAATACACAGTTTTTAGCACAGATCGATACAATCACAATCTTCACAAGTCCATGTTTAATAGAAAATTCAGTCTTTTAGATCTCTCTCAGATGATTTTTGGGTGCGCGCGAGCCGCGGAGTAACCTCGACAACGGCCGGCCGGCGACTGAAACGTGAATGAGCGGTACGCATTTCGTTCTCCTGCTGGCGCGAATTCTCGTCCTGCCAGTTGCCACCCCTGTGGTCCTGGAGGGCAGCGTTTTGGGAATACTACTATTTTGGTAGTTTTTATTTCGTACTAAGTGATTGGAAAGTTTGTAATAAAACAAAACTTTTTGATTTAGTTTTTTACATAAGTTATGAAATATTTATTGTTGTTATTATTATAGAAAACTTTAGCTTCTATTTTAATAAACAGTGGAGTAACAGACCGTTTCCAGCTAATTCCTTTAATGTACGAAAGAGAATGAAGAGATTAGATATTTTGTCTTATGTATTGTTAATCTTGTCCTTATTGAGTTACCACGTGTGAGCAGGAATTATCTATATGAAAATCTATTTCCAGTGAATCGGAGCTTTTAAAGTGATTTAAAATTGAATAATTGTCGTTAGAAATCATTAAGTAAATGATGATAATGTAAATCTTGATAGCATTATTGCTCTTTAATAGGTTACTTAAAATCCTGACTCTTGTATGTACTTGATTTCATGTGTATCCTATTACGCTGCAAAGTTCCTTTATTGAATTATATTCAATACAACTTAAGACAAGCTTATTTTCTACACACATATCAGTTCAGTTGCAACATTTCTCTTACTTTTTTTGTTTTCATTCGACCGTACCATATCGAGAGTAACTGTTAAATTTCAAATTTCATGTGCCGTTGGTAAGATTTTCGTGGAACTACCTGGCTAGTAAGCCTCGCCTGAGCAGTCCAACCCGTCTGACCCAACCACCTAACTAGATCGTCTCGGCACACAACAGTACAAAACAAAACTAACCATACCCCCACTGGAGAGGACTGAAATTCCCACTACACACACGCTATGGAATGTCATACAAAAATCATATGGGAAGCAAATCCTGTTTTCACGCACACAATCCCAACATAAACATTGGAAGTGAAACCTTAAAACCTAAAGGATAAGGATGAAAACGTTGATATATTGAAAAAGCCGGTATTTCACACATGAACAGACGCAAACCGATTCAAAGTTAAATCATATGGTCACTCCCGCACGAGCTTTAAAGGAAATACTTACCAAAGCTGTAGATAATAAGGATGAATACGGTTCGCTTGATAATTTAATTGTACCGCGCCTACCATATGATAGCAAAAGAATGTTTTCTAAGGATCATATGGCAGAATTCCTAAACTGCACAGAATAAGGTTACGTATCACACGCCCTTGGATTTGTCAATGTTCAAAAGCAATTTGTGTGTGAAGATTGCAAATCACATGTTTGATTGGGAATGCCTTTGGGTTGCCGCGTCGCCGACCGTGCCGGTTGTCAGAATTTGGGTGTGCCACGACGTGCATGCGTTTTTTTCGATGAAGTAGAAAGAATTGGTCAAAATCTTTTGGTTTTGTTAAATCAAAAGCAATTGAGGTCAGAACGAAACGTTACTTTAATAATAATAATCTGTGGCAGGAGATACTGCTTTTATAAAGCTACGAGTATGGCCGTCTTATCTTATTATTAGTTCGGTTAACATAACATTAATAGTAATATAATACTGAGTACTAAGATTGTAGAATATTTGAGTGGAGGCTCTTTAAAATCTTCTTTCTTAAAGAACTCCGCATACATTTACGGTGCCAGGCAAACCACTAATAAATAAAACACTTTTCAACGGATTTAAAATAATTTTATACATATCTAATAACGGACCGTGTAAATTTTTTTTTTAGGTTTCAAAGCATCTAACACGTATAAATATTTATAAAGTATTAAAAAGGGCATTTGAAACCCGTTTTAAAGCATTTTATTTTATTCTACAGGTCGATAATTCGAAAGTCATTATAACGAACTACTGAATGTTAGTTTGTATACTTTCAACTTGAATTTGACAATGCTGTGATTGTTCCAACTTTTATATCAGCTGCTTTTATGATACCTTTTTTGTCCTTATATATCTAACCTAAAGATAGACTTAAAAATGCCACGGAAAAGTGAAAAAAAGCCGTTTTGTCATTGTCATTAATTTTAAAATATGTACTTATGCTTCATATCTTTCTAATCCACTCATACTAGTAAAGAAAGACACATTCAACCTTACTTGTATTGTAACTATTCTTTTTACCCGACTGCCAAAGAGGGAGGGTAATGTTTAGGGAGTGTATGTAAGTATGTATGTATGTCTGTTCCTTTGTGACCTCCTGTAGCCTAAACGGCTTGATGGATTTTGATGTATGAGGTATCGTTAGATTTGTCTTGATTACGGGAGTGTCATAGGATACATTTTATCCTAAAAGTCCCACGGGATAAAGACATAATAATATTTTTTCTAAATTTCCCTTTAAAAAAATATGTATGCGGTATCATTAGATTCATTTTTAGACTGTCTTAAGGTACTTAATAATTCCCGCGATATTAATTCCCTTACTGAAGTAACAAGACTACGGTATATACCGTCTTAAAATACTAACTAACTAAAAAGTGTGAAATAAAAAAGGTAAATTTAAAAAATCAAAAAACCCGACTGCTTAATTATACTTCAAATAAAAACTGAAAAGAAAAAAACAAGTCCAGTAGTCTATAATTCTGTTAATAAGGAACAAAGCTACTTTAACAGTCGGGACCCACTGTTGAAAAATATTATGTATTCTTGAATATCTAATGGGTCCCGACTGTTAAAGTAGCTTTGTTCCTTATTAACAGAATTATAGACTACTGGACTTGTTTTTTTCTTTTCAGTTTTTATTTGAAGTATAATTAAGCAGTCGGGTTTTTTGATTTTTTAAATTTACCTTTTTTTAAGTTAAGTATGAAATATGTATTTCACATAGTTAGTCGTATGTCACGTTTCCTCTGTCGCATTCTCTAAGCTTCATACCAACAACATAATTTTAGCATAAATTAGATCTCAGATGTTGATACGGTTTCCCAAAAAGGCCCAGAATGTTGATGAATTATATACAGAATTAACTTAGGTAATTTAACAGCATTTCTTTAGCCCCCAAGGCCCATAATTCACATACTAGGTAATCCTTATTTTGCATAATTTGATGTAAAATATTGTTTCATCTTAAATGTATATATATATTTATATCTCATCTCTTCAGCACTAGGCGCTACGAAATAAGATTTCGAAAACCTTCCTATAAATACTGTGCCCTTTTCACTTTTCTACTACTTAAAATTTTGATCGGAAGTACTGATGTACGTGTAAATAGATGTATTTGACTAGTTCATATCATCAGATAGGTACTACATGTTATCAATTATTCAAATAGTCTGTTTAATGGTAACGTAAGGCATTCCCAGAGATTTTAACGTTCGTTGTTAGTCTCTTTCAAAAACCCGTAATCTTATTACAGAGATAAGCGGTTGTCAAGGCGCAAGGTAATATGTTGCTATTATACCTAGTAATTCCCGACACTTATGAATACCAATTAGCATTGGAATGACATTGTTTTCAGGTTTAAAAACATCTGTTTTGATCCAAGTGAACGAGCTTATTCTTAAAAAAAAAACAACAACTAACCATTCTCATCTAGAGGGGAATCATGTAAATTTGTGTAATAAAATTTTCAGATCTATTTTATTTTCTGATTAGATATTTACTTTAAATTCCTAAATATACTTTATGTTAACAACGTACCACCGTATCATAGCTGAAAGGACAGAGGGTAGTTTCTTCCAGATCTTGCTGGAAAGCAAGAAAAAGGAACGCTAGTATCGTATGGTGCTAGAACGTCAAGTGTCCAGATATTTCAGCATGGTAGAGTGATAAATTATTATCGCAATCTATAAGCTTTGATGGCTACTTACCACCAGACAGATCATAAGCCTATTTGGAATTAAATGACACCGATTTTGCATGAATAAAATTACTTCGATCACATTTTAAATTGGATTTGGTAAAGTAATTTATTGAGGCTATTTGATGTAAAACATATTGTGCTAAGTAACCGATACAACAACATCATTCATAAAATAAAAAATAAGCATTCAAAATAAGCAAGGTGTGGTCGTCTACCACGTTCACTTATAACTATGAATATAAAACTTTAAAACACATAAGAATATTTTAAAGGCGTTTTTTCTGTATTGATATATTTTTTTTCTGGTTTCCTCTACCGGCAACAGGATCAAGGTAAGATTATTATATATTGTCTACGATTACTTCTGGGCTAAGATTGTAAAGTCTCACAATGGCATCGGTACAATGACGTATTGTTGGCAAACGGAACACAATACTGTAGTAGTAAAATTAACAGCAGCAAGTACGCTCACTTAAAGGCAAAATAAAGGTTTTTTTACAAGTTTATTTTAACGAGACTTTGGGAAAAGAACTGAAATGTGTTTCTTATTATCATTTAGAGGGATAATTTATGTTGTTATTACTGATGTCCTGCTTGCTGTACGCCTTTGATGTTGAATTCTCGTCTGATTTCTGTCGAAACCACATCAGATGTATTTTAATGACATTCGGTGTCGAGACCCTTGGTCCGTGGGGTCCTAGCGCTGTAGGGCTTTTTAAGGAAATAGCAAAAAAGTTGGTCGACATCACAGGAGACCGAAGAGCTGGCAGCTACCTCGGACAAAGAATTAGTCTAGCTATTCAAAGGGGGAACGCTGCCAGTATCTTTGGAACCTTGCCTAAAGGGACTCCTTTTAATAATATATTTTAGTTATTATATATTTTAAGGTTTTTAGTTATAAATATCAAACGAAAATAATGTTAATGTATTTTAATGATAAATGTATCATGCTCAAAGTTTCCTGTTGGTCTTCAAAGCAACGGACATATAGAAATTGTTGCTGTCAAACCTTGGATGAGTTGTTTTTGTTGAATGTAAAGGAAAAAACACTGGATATTATATAGCATCATTCATACTACAACATCCTCATCGCGATCAAATGTAACGGTTATAATTTGTAGTATAGTTATGTTCATTATAAATTAATGCTTTATGGAACGTGTGCTA